TGGATGAGATGTTTCCTCTGAGTTGACCCTCCTCTTTGTAGATTGGACACTGGTTCAAGTCCATCTGGTGGGGTCTCTATGGCCTCCCTGAACAAGAGGACAGGTGACTCACCACAGTTCAGGACATTTTGATAGATGTTCCATAAGCCCCTGGTACTTAGTCAACCTTGGAGGCCAAAGGGCAAAAACTCTCCTTTAAGTCCCTCTGACCACATTAGTATAGACCTCAAAATATGGCTGTTAAACATCCAACAAGGTTAGTTCCACCACTCTGGTGCTTTTAATTACCATGTTCTATGTAGATAAATCTTGGGTTAAAAATCAAATATTCTCAGATAAACCTTGACTAGATTTATATTTTATTCCTTAAACTAGTTGACTAAACTGTGACCATAGAAATTTTAAGGTGGTATATATTATTTTTGTCTCATCCTTTATGTATCATAACAAATCTAAGACACCATGTGTGTGCAATGCCTGTGGAGGCCAGAAGAGGGTATTGGATCTCCTGGAACTGGGGTTAAGGACCAGTGTTAGCTACCATGTAGATTCTGGGAACTAAACCTGGGTGGGTCCTCCGCAAGAATAGCCAGTTCTCTTATCCGATAAGCTGTCTCTCCCACCCCAATGGTATCAAATTTGATAAGTAGCCAGTATAGAGTGTAAAATGTAAGGTTTAGATTTTTTAAGCCTGAATTCTTTGGCATAATTCTTTGGTATATCTGCAGGGTTTTTTTTTTTCTTGAGGTATTATTTTAGTTTTTACAAATATAAGCCTTTCAAGGCAAAATGTCTGTAAGGTCAGGCCCCAGAAGTCTGGAGTAACCTAGATTTGTATTTTGTATGAAATGTCTATAGAAAACAGTACTGACTATTTTATGAGCTATTAGTAGGATTTTCTCCTTTTCCTCCAGAAGCTTTTTCTGAACTGACATTTCTTATGTAGCTACTTTGTGATTTATTGGTACAGAACAAGGACAAACTTCCAAACCTTTGTATTCGGAGCCGTGTGATGTTCAGACAAAAATCCTCATCTTCCAAGTTTGGATAATAGATTTGCAGTGTTCTCTTTGAGACTCATGAGGACGTGGTTAAATGACCTTTTATGATGAAGATGGATGTTTTACTCAAAGCTCTGCTGGTAGACATGTTCGTCATGAGTTGTTTAACCCTCTCCCCCCTCACATCCCTAGGTAGTGTTGCCTGCCTCTGGTGGGACCCTATTCAGCGATTACTCTTCTCAGGAGCATCTGACAACAGCGTCATCATGTGGGACATCGGGGGAAGGAAAGGCCGAACACTCCTTCTTCAAGGCCACCAGTAGGTGACCATTTGTTGGGGAGGGAAAAGAATCCAAGTGTGCTCGGAGCCAGGGGTACACTGTAGTCTGTCCCCACTTGCTCCAAACCCCGCCTTGTAAGACAGCAGTTCTGGCCTTTGGTTCAGAGTATGTTGCTAAGAGGACCAAGGACATTTTGAGTTTTAGCCAAGAAACTGGCTACTTTTCTTTGGGGTCTTTTTGTCCTAACTGCCTAGCCAATTCCTACCTCCTGTTCTTATCACACCATCCTTTGAAGGAGTTACCCAAATTGCCAATAGGGAATCGGGACGCAGACCACTCTGGCTTCTTCCATTGCTGAACAGAGACACAGGGTGAGGCATTTGGAGTACCCCTTCAGTGGGTCTATCTAAAAGACTCCCAAATTGCATAACTCTTA